CTTGATCTTCTTTCTTTGCTTCTTGCCTCCATTCAGCCCATGAACATTCTCTCCAGATTTTGACTTTGGCCTTTTCCTTTATCATTTTATTTTGTATTTTGTCTTCTTCTTAAGGGGTTCAACTATCATATACATGCATCCAATTCTCTGATCTCCAGTTTTGATTTTTTTTCTAAGCTCCAGACTCATATACATGTAGCCAGAACCTACAGGTCACTGCTACCTAGATATCTCACAGACATCTCTAACTCCATATGACATTATCGAAACCCATTACTTGCTCCCAAACCTGCTCCTTCTCTGCTATTTCATATCTTGGTTAATAGCACCAACATTCATCCAACCAGGAAAACCAAAAATCTGGAAATCTTTGAGGATATAGAGATGGGTATGCTGTAACTCTGTCCTCAAGAAATAGTCAGTCTCATAGGGTACATGCGTGTACATTTCTCCCGCTTCTTAGAACCAACAATTAATTCTCTTTGGCACTCTTGTGGAACTTAGAATTCTACCTTTTGATAAGAATAAGAATTCTTATTTATAAACTTGTCTGAATTAAACTGTGGGATCTTTTTGGAACTATGTAGGGTAGGACATATATCTCATTCATCACTGTGTTCCCCCAAACCCCTGACATACTGCACTGACTGAATACAACTGATCTTCAACAGCTGTTGAATGTATACATGGATGACAGTAAAACAATAAAGGAAGTGAAAAGCGACATGGAGATAGGCATAAATAAGTAGCTGTGGGATTATATTAGGGCAAAAATATTTCTAGCTGGAGAGAAGAGAGAACATTTCATGAAGGTGGTAGAATTTGAACTGTATAAAGAAAGAAAAGGGGAGATTCCAGGTAGGTAATGCATCAAGAAAAAGGAAAAAAAATAGAATATATAAGGAAATAAAATTAATTTTTTTCAGACCAAGTAGTCTGAAGTAGTCAAGTATAGAAAAAGTGAACAGGGTTAGACATGAGAGAACTCAATTGCAGATAAGTAGAAGAATACATTTTTTAATTGGAAAATGCATTACACTTACTGATGTAAAATTGTTAATATTATTCTTTTAATCATTTTTTATGCTGTCTACTATGGAACACCACAATTACAGAATATACAATGATCACCTGTACCTAGCCTAAAGTATAAATTCAGGCTATGTCTTATTTCATCTACACCCATTCACTGCACCCCAAGATTATTATGAAGCAAATCACAGACATTATACAATTTATCTTGAAAAGATTTCTATGTGTAATCTCCAAATGACAAGATCCTTGTCTTCTGCAAGCATAACTATAGTATTATTATCACAATTTAAAAAGTAATAACTCATTGTATTATCAATTTTCTGTGTTCAGAGTTCCCTGATTTTCTCATAACTTGTTTTATAGTTTGTCTGAATAAAATACAATCTAAGGTCTATACATTGCAACTAGTTGTTATATATCTTAAACCAGTCTATCTCTCTCTCATTTTCTTTCTCCCCTCCTTCCCTCCCTATCTCTTAATCATTTTATTATAGCATAAAACATATAGAAAAAACACTCAAATGTATGTATGAGTTCACGTGTCATTATAAAACAAATACCTTCATAAGCACTGCTCAGGTCCAGAATAGAATGTTACTAGTCACCCCTGAAGGCCTTCCACACGCCCCATGTTAATCACAGCTCTTTTACTAGCTCCCCCCCAACAAAGTAGCCACTATCTACACTTTCATGGTAAAATCAATTTCTTATTTTCATTTGTAATCTTACCACCCACAAATACATCCTTAGACACCATAGTCTCATGCATTGTTAAATGTGTCTTACATGTTTCTCTTAACCTACATATTCCCACATCATGCCTTTCTTTTTCTTGCAATTTATCTGTTGAATAATCCAGGACATTTGGCCTATAGAGTTTTCCAGTCTGGATTTTGCTGACTGCAAACTCATGGTGTAGAGCAATACATTCCTCTGTTCTCTATATATCCTGCAAAACGGCAGCAAGATGGTATTTTTCAGACTCAGGTTTAATCCATTTGGCATATTTTATTCTTTCATGAGAAGGAATATGTCTAGTTGTTTCCTTACATATGATGGTATCAGTCATTGATGCTTCACACTCGGATTTATTAATTCAATAGGGGCTGTAAAATGATTATATACTTTTATAAAAACACACTACAATGGAATATTATGCAGCCACCAAAAGGAATGAACTCTTGCCATTTGCAACGACGTGGATGGAACTAGAGGGTATTATGCTGAGTGAAATAAGTCAAACAGAGAAAGACATGTATCATGTGATCTCACTGATATGAGGAATTCTTAATCTCAGGAAACAAACTGAGGGTTGCTGGAGTGGTGGGGAGGGATGGGGTGGCTGGGTGATAGACATTGGGGAGGGTATATGCTATGGTGAGTGCTGTGAATTGTGTAAGACTGTTGAATCACAGACCTGTACCTCTGAAAAAAATAATACATTATATGTTAAAAAAAAAAAAAGAAGAAGAAGAAGAAGGTAGCAGGAAGTGAAAAATGAAGGGGGGAAATTGGAGGAGGATACGAACCATGAGAGACTATAGACTCTGAGAAACAAACTGAGGGTTCTAGAGGGGAGGGGAGTGGGGGGGATGGTTTAGCCTGGTGATGGGTATTAAAGAGGGCACATACTGAATGGAGCACTGGGTGTTATATGCAAACAATGAATCATGGAACACTACATCAGAAACTAATGATGTGATGTAATATATGGTGATTAACATAACATAATAAAATAAAATTAAAAAAACACACTTCTCTGAACTATTTCATTAGTCAGTGCACATTTCTTATAGGAAAGGCAGAATAAAGACCCGATTTTTTTCCCTTTACCAGTTTTCAAGATAACAAATTGATTTCCTATCATCCACTAAATGTGACCAATTATTTTGAAATATCATTATGAACTTATGGATTTAAATTTAATTCATAAGATTCAACCTACTGTGATTAATAACCTTACTGAAGTTCAAATTGTTCCACTGGTCAATGGAAAACTCTTTAAAGTTGGCTCCTAAGTCATTTCATTAATGACTTAAACTGTTAGATGCTAACATTTTAAACTATGATTATGAATTGCCTATTTCTTCTTTTAAATCTGTCAACTTTGGCTTCATGCAATCAGACACACTGCTGTGAGGCACATATACTTGTACTATTTTTATGACTTCCTGATGAATTGACCCTTTTATTATTCTGAAAAGTCCTCTTTATCTCTGGTGATACTCATTGTCTACAGTCTACTATATGTGTTACTGGTATATCCATTCTAACCTTATTTTTATTCATCATTTATTTTCAATTTTAAATTCTTTCTCCCTTCCACTTTCTGTTCATCTTAAGTCATTATCTATCATGTTCGTTTGCTGTTATGTTCCTCTTAGGTTTTAGCTTCCTTTCTGAAATGACTTATTTCCTTCTTCCTAACTTTCTATTTCTGGACTTTTCTAATTCTTACTGATCTATGTTATTCTTTCTCATCTCATTTCTTTATGTCTTTTAGCTCATTTTTTAATAGTGAGTCACATTATGTTCTTCTGGCATGCTTTCTCTTTTTTGGTAGAAATGTTATTCTGCTTCTTATTCTCTTTTTTCTTCTAAGTTTGAAAGGGATTTTTACCTTAGTTCTTTTTTTTTTTTAGGGTTTTATTTTTATTTATTTAGAGAGAGAGAGCACATCCTCCCTTGGGTGGGGGAGGGAGAGAGAATCCCAAGCTGACTCTGCACTGAGCATGGAGCCCGACGTGGGCCTCGATCTCAGAACTCTGAGATCATGACCCTTGAGCCAAAATCAAGAGTCAGACGCTTAATTGACTGAGTCACCCAGGTGCCCCTATTGTGGCTCTTTTTGTTGTTCATTTTTTGGTAAAACTTGTTTCTTTCTGAGCTTTTGAACATGGCAGGATTTTCTAACATCACAGGGATCCCTCTTCCAAACTATGGTCTTGAGATTTCCTGAGCCTGCTGCTTCTCCGTTTTTTAGCTCTGTTTTAGCTCTTTCCTTCCTCTATATTGTCCCGATCCTGTTTACTTCTGATCACACTCCCAGCCACTTGTCCTCAGTGCAAGTGGCAGTTTTTCAGAGTTGTGAGGCACTAGAACAATTTCAGTTCCTTCAGAATTTCTTACTATGGGCCTCTTGGACTCACCGCCTGTTAGAGAGCAAAACTCTTCCCAACTTCAGCTGCCGTTCTCAGATTGGCTCACCATCCCTCACTTTACAGTGAGGACCACTGGTTCCTTGTTCTCAAGTCTGCCAGATACCATATTACTTCCACCTGCCCCCTTCCCTAGACACTGATTCTATATGTGGTTTGTCTCACTCACGTCATCGAAAGTGATTCTTGTGGATAACTTGTCACTGAGTTTGTTCTAAATGTTGTCCAGTAGTTTTTAGCTTTGGCACATGTGGGTATTTGAGGAGATTAAAGAAATAAGGCTGCTGCCACAGGTGTGCCACCTTCCAACACTTTCATTTTTGATTAAACACTTTCCAAGTCTCTCAGATGTGGAGGAGACCACAGATGGACTGTGCCCACAAATGAGGGTAAACAGAGAACGCATACAAATAATAGAATACAGTGCTGACTAATCAAGGAGTTGACATTCACCAAATGAGCGAGCAGCTTCTGACCTCACTCAACAGTGAACAAAAGTGTGTGGGCATTTCTCAAATGGTATCTCATAGGAAGTTAATAGAAATATGGTAGTTCTAGTTGCCCAGTGAATGTAATTTAGGAAATGATGAGTTGAGGCAAAGCATTCTCTACCACTTCCTTAAAATGGCACACAAAATAAATAAATAAAAATGGCACAAAGTGAAGAAGTGGTAAAAGATTTGTATAAAGTTTTTAAGGAAGAAATAAAAAATCTGATGAGAAAAATCTCAGTTTCAACATTAACTCAACAATCAAGGACAGATATTGCCATTTTAGAGAGAGTAGGATGCTCTTGAGTTTCCTTACCATGTACCAAGTGATGGTTGGTTTGACAGTGGAAGGAAAGAATCCATCTACATTTGGACATGTGATCTTCTGAACACCATACTCTATATACAGTTTATGCAGTGGGAGTTTCATGGAGGAATTGAAGCAGCTGTCTTTCTGAACCACTTCCAGAGGAAACGCAACTTTGCTGCAGTATGTGGTATTCCTGAAAAGAGAAACAGCCAATAAATGGGCAATCTCCTTTGAATCTGATCTGATGCAGCAATCATATTAAAATGAGTTAAGTGAAATAATGCTGCACATTGAGACCTCATTTACATGTCAGTTCACATAGGAATTAAAATTAACAAGTCAGGAAATGACAGATGTTGGAGGGGATGAGGAGAAAGAGGAACCCTCCTACACTGTTGGTGGGAATGCAAGCTGGTGCAGCCACTCTGGAAAAACAGTATGGAGGTTCCTCAAAAAGTTGAAAATAGAGCTACC